TCTATGGAATCCCTGATAACGATACTCCGCCGTCTCTGGAGCATTTTCGTCACTTTCATCAGGGGAAGCAACTCGTCGTCGCCTTCGTCCCTCCTCCCGCTCTCGATGAAGGTATGCAAGAAGATTAAATCGGCTGGCTGGGGATGGAAAAGCACGGATGATTCAATAGGTGCGATACAGCCTCAATCTTATCCTTTGGCTTTTATTCATATTTCATGACCTCAAATAGTTTGGGAAGCGCAGAAGGAAGAGTTCTTGCGTCATCCCAGTCTACGCCTCAAGCAAGGTCGCCATCAGAACAAACCGAAAACGAAGGCAAGCAAATCGCACAAGCGGCACAAATCCGGTCGATTCGCTCAAGTGACCGTTAATCTCCATGACTGGAGCGCCCCTCCACCAACTCAGCCTCCTCTTCGCCCGCCTCGCCCGCCTTCTAGTCCGGTTCCTTCTGTCATCATCACTCCGTGTACCCCTACTGGCGATGGACTGCTATCTGCTATCCAAGAATGCATATACACGACAACCCATAATTCTCCGCTTGAGCTGACTCTCGCTGCTCTCCTGCCGACGGAAAGCTCTCCGCCTGACGCGCAGGGTGAGAGGGACGTAGCTTGCTCTACGAGGGACGACAAACCTGGATCTGACCCGCCTATTAATGAAGACGATATCACTGATGCTGGAGTTCTAGACGTAGGGCATAATCAACCCGCATTTCTCCCTGTCGTTACGTCTCCCTTGACGCCCGACGCCCTACCCAACCCTCGGGAAAGCGTCGATTCGGACCTTCAGTGGCGCGATTTCAAAGTCCTAGGCTCTTTCGACTCGCCTTGGGCTAGCTCTGGGTCTACCAACTCTTTAGAAGCGAACGCATCTTATTTCACCAGCACGCCTACTAAGAAACCTCTAGCTGAGAATCGTCGACTTGCGAGATACAGAGTCGAGCTCGACACGCCCACTCCATGTGGCGTCGGTACACCGCACATGCTCCGCCTCCCCGACGAGCAACTTGACCTGCTACCCTACCCCGATGTGTTCGACTTCGACATGTACTACGGCGACAAGCGCTTCAGCCGTCCCACTGTTGACAGCCCCACCTCGTCTTCCAACACGCGCTTCTCAGTTGACTACGAGAAGAACCCATTCGCTCCTCAGGAATTATCGCCGTACCTCGGTACCTCCCCCGATGCTGCGTATTACTCCTCGCCTTCTACTTCCAGCTCCACGCCTGGGACATCCCAGCAAAAACCACCACGCTCCTTTGGCTTTATCCCAGAAAACGCAGATGTGAGCCTTGACTACGAATTGAAGCGCTATCGCGATCACTACCGACACCCAGCATATACTGTTTCCCCACAAGCGTCCTCGGAGAACACCAGCGGCGACTCGCTTCCATATTCAACGCCGACGCCTAATCCTCGTGGAGCGTCTGTGATACATCTAGCGCCATCTGGTGCTTTAGCAGCACGGGCACGATCGCGGGCGACGGTGCATCTACCGCTGAGAGATGTGACGAATCGGAAATGGGACGAGAATTCACCAAGGACTCCGCGTTCGGTTGCGGGTAAAGTTCTCCCTGTGCCTCAGCCTCAGTCTCAGTCAAATTCGGAGACAATGGAGTGGTCTGCTGAGAAGCCCGAAGGCAACCCTCCGCCGCCTATCGTGGTGATATCGCACCATCGCTTCGGGTCATCCCCGCCTGACTCTCTGGCTGGCGCCGACGCGTCGAGCGATGCGCTGAAGGCGAGTCTGCAGGACATGTGTAATCTCTTTTCGAGGTCTGTCTCGAGGGACTCTACGTAGTCTCTTCGCGTAGGATATCAACTGAATGGTAAATTGCTTCTTCATTGACTTGGTATTGGGACTTTTTGAGAGTTACAATTCTATGTGCCACATTTAATGGTACATTCAGGTTTGGCGTCAAGAGATCTATATCTACGCAAGGGAAGGGTCGCTGTAACGCTCTCCAAATAATCCCTCCTCCATAGCTTTGATTTCTATACCCACGTCAATTTAGCGCGTTTCTCGCTGCTGTCGGATAGAAGTCACTCACGAAGTGCGATGTGTTTAGAGTAGAAACGACACAAAGCAAGGTTACCTATAGCGAGTTTTAGCGAAGTCGGCACTCTTGGAGAGGTGTTAACATTAACGCACCCATGATGTTCCACATCCTTTCGATACCCGAATCGCCGTAGCATCCCTTGAGCTCCCCTTCTTCGGTCAAGCCCCAGATAGGCTTCGCCTTCGCAGTCATCTCGTCCCCAATAATTTTGCGCATGGTATGCGAAGGGTCGCTCAGGCTGGTACAATTACACACAAGGTCAGAATATTTGACACTGAACAAAATAAAAAGCATACCCAGTGCAGAAGAGGACAATATCAGCGGCAAGCTCGCTTCCGTCCTCGAACTTGAGCCCGTGCTCGGTGAACTCCTTGATTTGGCTGTCGTTCTTGAGTTTTATTTTCCCGTCGATGATGTATTGGCTGCCTCCAACATCTACGCATTGGAGTTAGGTTTCAGTCAGATAGGACGCGCTATGAGCTGGAATAGGATGTGCACCCATGTAGTATCCGCCCGCATTTTGCCACACCGAAAGGAGAAGACCGCAATGCTTGTAGCCATCGTTAAGTCTAAACCCACGTTTCTTGAGACCATCTAAAATGTCTCTGACAGAGGCCATGCCTAATGAGTGTTATAATTCTTGGGTCAAAACCAGTTAAACTCACTTGTCAGCTTCAGCAATCAGTTTCGTAGCGCGATACGCGATTCCGGCCGTCAACAGATTAGGCAGGGAAGCGTTCAGTCTGTCGGATATGTCAGTCGGAGGACTGGTCTCGGAATAAAGGCCTGAATATCGTTACAAGTGAGCTTCGAAGGACGTTTGCATGGGACGCGCAGATTACTGTACCTCCGAGAAGGATAGGTAGCCCCTTCTTCGTGGACATCACGTAGGTAGAGCTTCTCTGGAACATAGTAACATCTTCATGCTAAATCAGACAACAATTTGAGAGTCATTACAGTGAGAGCACTGACCCACACCGTGATCAACGTAGTCAACGCATACGTCGTGCGCTTTTATCATAACCTTTGTTAGGCTCCACTGTGATACAAGTACCCAAAATAACTCGCCTGACGTGCATGATCCAATAACAACGACCTTCTTTCCAGCGTGGTCCGTTGCCTTCTTATGCTGCAATGAATGCAATATTTGCCCTTTGAAAGAGTCCTGAAGAGCGAGTGTTAAATCATGCAATGCATTTGGAAGGACACCTACCATTCCGGGGTATGTCGGCACATATCCTTGTCCTCCCTTGAACCCAGTAGCCATGACAAGATGCTTGACGTGGAAGACGCGCTCAGTGCCATCGGATTTTAGGACTGTGACGTTCCAGTCCTTTGTAGTTGGATCTTGGGTGGCGTTTGTCACAGTAGAGGAGGTCCAGACGTTTAACTCCATCGTTTCTACATATTGTTCGAGCCATTTTGCGAGCTGAAAAAGAAATAAGTAACAATCATCTGCGGTTGATTCATGCACGCACCTTTCTTGCAGGAGCAAATACTGGCCAGGTATCAGGGAACCTAAAAGGCATCATCAGCTTCGTTGTAAATTTGAATCAGTATCCATAATTCTGACGTACTTCAAGTAAGGCATCTGATCGTACCCTTAACGTTCTCTTCAGCAAGTCCACTTGAACCAGAATATCGTCACTCACAAACAGTGTCGTGTAGACACAAAGCTTCATACCGACCCCTCCAATTATCTCCGATTTTCGGATTCTTCTCGATGACGAGGTTCGACACACCCAAGGCCTTGAGATACACGGCGACATCTAACCCGCTATGGCCACCACCTATAATGAGCACGGTAGGTTCGACTCCTTCAAACATCATCTCCTTTTGTCTTTGCGCCTCCCAATTTCCGTGGTTAGGCTCGGGGTTGCGTAACGCGCCCGCCTTCTCCGGGAATCCCTTGAGGCCATCCAGATTCGTGAAGAGCCCTTGAGCCTTCCAGACCGTTTGACCATTGTCAACGACGGGAACGAGACGCGCCACTCCAGTACATAGGCCCACGGAAGTCTCGAAGGTGAACACTAGCTGAATCCAAACGAGATCGGGGAATGGTTTCTGCAAGGTTGGAGGAAAGTCCTCTCGAACTTTGACATTCGAGATCTTCGCGCCCTTCAGACGCGCTTCCAAGAACTGCTTGATGTTCGCGGTGCCTTCAAACGTCCTGAAGTCCCATGTGAGCGCCAGTAGATCTCTCCAGTACACAGAGATATCCTCCGGGGACGACGGGAGTTCCTTTCCAGGAGGCCCGAACATGTTCGCCGCAAACGAGGAGGTGACGATAAGGCTGAGGACACCATCAACGTCGCCTTCGCCTGCAAACTTGGCGAAGGAGGACAGCCAGCTCGAGGCTATAGGCGCAACATCGAGATCATCCGGTATGGTAGGACTTCCAAGCTTCGAGAGAGTTGGCAGCGCGGCCTCGGGAGGAGAAAGTGAGAGCGACGATTGCATTTTGGAGCCTGTGTCCTAGAAAATTAACCGGCTCGTTTTTATAATCTCATCTTCATGAATCATATTATGAAGCGTACCTAATTTACACATCCCAAGCCGCTCCTGCCTGCCCCCATGTCCTGGTTCGTGTGTGAAGATCGCAGCTGATATAGGATATGCATCTTCAAAGGCTTGTTTCTGACGCCACATGATCACCTCTTCGCGAACTGATGACCTTTCTGGCGTACGACAGAAGGTATGGAAGAGCAGCTGATTGGATGAGATGACTTTAGGTTTCACGGCTCTTATCTAAATGATTTCTATGAATGTCATAAGAAGGAAGAACTATTTTTATCGAGGTAAACTTACTCTCGAGACAGGAGGGTGTTCCAAGACAAATGTCAACACTTGAATATTTTGTCAGATCAGCTCACATCTCGAAATCAAGAGGAAGATTAGGTCCACAATCGAAAGAAGAAAGAAGAAAAAATTACATCTTAGTAGCCCACCGCGAGGGTCGAACTCGCAGCCTTCAGATGCCCGGTTGCTCCGTCTCTCTTTGTAAGAGTCTGACGCTCTATCCGATTGAGCTAGGCGGGCGATACTATTGTATGACGTTGAATTATTAATGACTCGGAGTATCGACGAATCCACTGGGATCTTCCTTTATCCACAAAGTTCAGGAATCAGGACCTATATTCACTGTTCAGGGACTAGGGGTTAACATCGACACTTCATGATTATATCAGCTGGATGCCTGCAAAAACAAGCATACTGCTATGGGATGAGCGCTGAGCGCTGAGCACTAAAGTCTAAAAGGTGAATCCTTTTCATGTTGTGCAAAATGTCCACAAACAATTGGCATACAATTTTTGCCATCTGGCTTATTAATATAGTGTTGAATGAGTTAAAGAGAGACCTGCACAACGAAGAAATAATAAGAACTATCGACAAAAAGAAAAGAAAAAGTAACGGATTAGCCCACCGCGAGGGTCGAACTCGCAGCCTTCAGATGCCTAAGTGCCTAATGAATCAGACAGTCTTAAAAGTCTGACGCTCTATCCGATTGAGCTAGGCGGGCATATCTGAAGTATAAAAGCAATAAATAGAATCGGCCGAAGGTATCAATAAAATTGCAACACAGACCTCATTTTCTCTCGAACGAATCGGAATATGACAGATCCAGCAGAAGCTCAAACTCCGATTAATGGTATATGGTATACCTCTCAAAATTGGCGGTGAACGAGCCTAGGGTGTACTCAGAAAATCAACGACAAGTCTACGGAATTCAGTAGGTTTCTCTGCGTGCACTGAAAGGATGATAAGTTACGGTCGAACAATCGAGATGAAGAAAATAATTACCCCAATGACCGGTATCTAATTCCTCCAACCGCATATTAGGGAAGAAGGCGTGGAGAGCAGGTATATTCTTATGATTGATATATCTAAAAATGGAGGAAATAATTAGTGGATTGGTTGCTGACGAAGGGGATAATTGTTACTTACGCGCTCCTCTTTCCTTTTACTACTAACGTTGGTCCATCCCATGTCGTAGATGCAACGTTTTCTAAGGGGTCGTAATCGTATGGGAACGATCCCAAGGCATCCATCGATTGCGAAAGAATGCCTAGAGGAACGATGAATTTGGCTTTCTCTTCCACAGCTTCATGATGAGTTGTCTTTCGAGCGTGACTTGGTACGTGGAGGTTGGTAAGTAGAAATTGTCGAATAGAAAGGTCCTAATGAGCAGCGTCAGATGTTGCACGGAATCTGATGTAGAGAAACGTAAACGCACAGGTTCATAGGCTTTCAATCGAGCATCAGCATCGCTTCGCGTCTTTATGACACCCGGCGGTAGCGCCTCGATTTTCTGCATGATAGATATGTATGTCGAAAACTCTGTCGAGAGTTTTCCTATTGAGGGAGCTATGTCGGCTACAATGAGATGTGAAAGGGTATCTTCAGGGATATTGAACTCCTTCACAGAGAGTGCATAGGTCATAGCGACCTTTCCTCCCCTAGCGAAGACAGTTCGGTAAATCAAGCAGCGACGAACTTGGAATTGACAACGCACATTGAATGCCCCAATAACGCAACACCTTTCAGCTTCTTCTCCTCTATAAACCGGTGCACGTCGGAGGCCATAGCTTCGTATGTCATCGGCGTTGCATGAGGAGATGTACCATGGTTCCGCATATCGAGAGCATATATTGGGCGATGAGGCATGTCCCGGTGGAGAGCCTTGCAAATAGAAGTCCAGTTCCTCTTGGAGCCACTGTCGAGAAAGTCGTCAGACACAAGTCCAAGAGTATCCTACCCCAATTTGCGACTTACAACAGCCCATGGAGGATGACTAGCGGCTTCTCCGTAGCATTTCCGTCCTCTGGGATGATTGCGTTGTAAGAAAGTTCAACGGGTTCATGGGTGCTGATCCTAACGTGTCTTCTGGAGAAAGAGCGCGTTTGGATACATGTTCTAGGAAGCAAGTGTCGTGTCCATTGTTGGACAGGCTTCTGAAGAGTGGTGAGCATCCAGTTGAGTCCGTGAAGTTGTCCCGACAGGTCTGGCCGGAACATCGGAGGCGCTGGCGAGTGATGACAAAGAAGGCGTTAGCCGACAAGAAACGAGTTGATCGCGCTCGTTACCGACGCCCATTGCTGTCGGAGCGCGAGCGCGAAAGGACTCTTCATCTTCGTATCCTATGTTCCGCCGCCTTATACCTTCGAATTCGTACAGAACTGGATATGACTTTGCAACCAGGTTTTGGACCAGGTCACTCCAGACTGGCGGCGGAAATGCCGTCTCACCACCGATCCCACCACCGCTTTCTGTATTAGAAAGTGAACACGACAATGCACTTGCATCGACTTGGGCAAAGGCGTTTGAGGCGACCCATGGGAAAATACCGAGAGACTTGGTCGAGTTGTCTTTTTCACGGAGTTCAGGTCCAGGAGGACAGGTACGGTTCAAATGGAATGCTCTCATTTTCTTAGATTGACAATGATATGCAGAACGTCAACAAAGTGAATACCAAAGCGACCTTGAGATGTTCTCTGAACCAGTCTTGGATACCACGCTGGGCAGTACCAATCCTGGTCAAAGATGTACGTGAATTACCCATATTCCGTGCGCTATCATTGACTTCTGCATAACCCATAGAGCCACTATGTCGCTTCAACACATTCTATCTTGGTCGCTTCTACAGCTCATCGGTCACAAGCTCACAACATTGAGGAATGTTTGTCAAAGGTTCGTGCTGAACCACAGTTGTATCCCAGTTCCAAAAGTTAATTGTTGCCAATGAAAGCTCCACGCTCTAGTCCTTGCTGCCGCTTCAAAACCCATAAAACACGGCCCATCGGAGCAGCAGAAAAAGAAGGTCGAAGGACTTATCAAAGCCGCAAAGGCACACCAGAAAATGCATAAGATGCATCGGAGCAGTGTCAAGCAAGGACGGAGCGGGAAAGGACATGGGTTTGATTTCTAGTCATGGAAATTCCGAAATGCTTGCTGCGAAGACGTGTGAGTCCAATCGTTGAATACAAGTTTTTTTTAGCGCTGATACCGTATCATTTAATCCAGCGACAGGTATGGGAAGTGGATGCAAGGCAATATTCTTCTTGTTCCACAAGTTAGTCTTGTGGGGCCCTCAAGTCTGTTCATGCCCCGATTTCATTGTCGCTCGACGGATTCTTTTGAGGGGCCTAAGCATCGCGAAATACAGCCATGGAAATGGCTGGTATACTATCTCATGTCATCGATTCTGGTCATGAGGAGACATGCACAATCCGCTCCCTTTCCGACGACTTCCACCACGCAAGACGTGCTCTCTTCATGTGGCACTCCAGAAAAGCCTGCCATGTCAATCGTATACATATACATATACACCATCTCGCGCGTCATTCGCTTCCTCGGACGTCATCATACTCCTTATCCGAAGCCGACACCAGGTTCAGGTCGCCACTCAGAACCTTAGGCGCCACAGTCGCCCCATTGTCGAAGAAGCACCACCGCGTTGTTGCAAGCTCATTTCGGCTCCGCGAGGTGCGCGAAGTTCCTGCGGGTTCCTTCGATTCCAAGGCCATGGGATGCAGTCCTTTCCGCCTCGTCCATGGGTCTGAGTCACCCACCATCCACCAGTGCGCCGTGCGATGTGGATCCTCATCTGCCTGGACTATGTTGTGGTGCCCAGAAACTCGGCGGGAATAATTCATTTCATGGAGGATTCGTGTAGATGTACAAATATCAAACACAAATTTTCATTCTACAGTTGATGTGTGCTATGGGAAGGAAAAGCCATGATGGAAAACTTTGCGGGAGTCGACGATATGACGCTCACGAGGGCTGGGAACGATGTTCAATCCGCATTACTTCCACGTCAATGCCACGCTCGAGCGCTGGCTGTCGAATGCCCTCATCGAAGAGATATCGAATGCACCTGTGCAACGTTTGGGTCTCGCTCGCTTGTCTTCTATTCGTGTTGGCGAAACCGTGGAACGTTCGCTGATGATTCCGAATGTTTGTTTAAGAACAGCTCGACTCGCTTTGGTTTGCATGCGCATGGATGGATGTATGGAACCTGGATGGAAAGAATGGCATCGTCGTGGACGTGAGCCCGCTAGCAACGTGAAACTCAACCTTCCTCGTTATCTTATCTTCAACGCCACTTTCGCTGCCCAGAACCTTCACCTCCATCACTCGGTCACTACCAGTCACCCTCCGTCTAAACCCGCATCCGTCATGCATCCCTGGGCCTGACAGTCATAATCGACGAACGGGGGGTGACGCGTGCGGCGAAACTCCAATAATACATCTATACATCGACTCATGGGCACCATCACGCACACCTCAAGACCACATTTCGACTTCGCTCCTTCGAGAACCGGGAATTCTCCATGGATGCCCTGGGCGCCAATTTGGCATTGCGTGCAGTGACCGCGAAGGTGACATTGCGAACAGGCCCCTTCGATGTAATGGTGTGCCGCATGTAAGTTGGACGGGGACTCAGATGGCTCTTCGAAGCTACGACTCTGATATCATTCGTTTCGAGGCTTCTGCGCCGCAGGGTGCGTTTCCCTCCGGTCGTAGTTGTGAAGAATTGATGAAGCTTTGAAGCATGAAGCTGGGAGCTGAATCGGCTTGTAGCGTAGCCCCAGGCCATCTGAATCGGTGCGCACCCAAATGATGTCGACTTTTCTGCTATTGGATACCTTGCTGCGAGGTGTACTAACTCTCGCGGTTCCTAGTGTGCTAGGGAATCTATCTATAGGGTATGAGACTACGGGTACCCACCAGGCTACTGAACCGCGGGCGGCCTTTTATTTGCATCCTGTTCATCCTCGGAAGAGCATCGCTATCGAAAAGTCCGACAACAATTCCTTTCTCCTATGTGGCTACTCTTTTGTGATGTTGGTTGGGTTAGACCATTCCCGGAATGCATGTATGCGTGCAAATGGGCGTTTCCAGTCTACTTGGGCATATGAAATATCCCCCTCTGCCATCTTGCACCGGTTTGCCTCGTATCTCGTATGCTTGTCTTCTCCCAGCAAGCTTCTCGGTGTTCTAGGTCACCGTTCTCGAATCTCGATAGCCTGAGTTTGGCTTTCGTGACTCTTGCCTTACTCCTGCAATCCAGGTGATGTGTGTCTGGATCCTGAGGTATTCCCCATTCTCTTGCTTGCGTACGCTTGCTTCGAGGGCCCAGTGGCCTCAACGAATGGGTGATTCAGAGCGATATAAATGAGGCTCTTTGCTGATTGGGTATTGTATTCTTGGAAGGTTCATTGATGCGTTTAAGTGGGAAAGCAAGGTGACTTTAAGCACTGTATCAGCCTCGCGGTGCGGTGAATGCTACAAACATCCTCGCCGAATTCGTACATGCATTTTCGACGCTGCATCTCTAGGACTCCTTAAAACAATTCATCTCCTTGAAGACCTTTAGAATATTCAAGCTTTTTGCGAGACTCTACCTTAATTTCTTCTTCCTCAAACGATATCTTCCGTAGAGATCCTCACTGACTTAATCCCTTTTTCCAAATTCCGGACAAAACATCTGGAATGTCAGCGGATAATCACCAAGCG